AAGGAAAGGAAAGGAAAGGAAAGGAAAGGAAAGGAAAGGAAAGGAAAGGAAAGGAAAAAGGGGAAGAGAGGAGAGAGGAGAAGAAGAGATAGAGAGGAGTGGGGAAGGGAGGAGAAGAGAGAGAAGGAGGAGAGGAAGAGATAGAGAGGGAAGGAAAGGGAAGGGAAAGGAAAGGAAAAAGGAAGAGAGAGGAGAGAGAGGAGAGGAAGAGATAAGACAGAGGAGAGGGGAGGGGAGGAGAGGAGAAGAGAGAAGAGGAGAGGAAGAGACAGAGACAGAGAGATGGAAGGAAAGGGAAGGGAAGGGAAGGAAAGGTGGGAGGAAGAAAAAATAATCCTATTTTCTATGGAAAGGGGAGGATGGGAAAAGGGGAAGGAAAGAGAAAGGACAAAGCAAACATTTCTGCCTAATGAGACCAGAAAGACAGAACTACTGCATTATATTCGTTCCAGGCAGGTTTTTTTTTTTCCCTGTGGCTAAGCAAAAAGGAAAGACACTGGTGCATTGGAGCAGAAAGAAACCATAAAAATATGGGTGTGTGACCGCAGAAGACAAACAACCTCATGGCTGCCAGAATCAAAGCAGCCGGTACATTCCCTGGCATCCACTTCTCCATCCCGGTGCCGCCTCCTTCCAAGCACCAGCAAACAATATCGAGCGGAGCTAAGGAAGAACAAAAGCACGATTCTTGTCGGAAAAGAGATGGGGTCGTGGGGAGGGGGACAGAGAGAGGGCCGCGGTTGGCGAAATTTTCTTCCACCCAGGGACTCAAGTCTTGGACAGAGGAAGGACAGGGCACCGATCCAAAGGCAACTGACCCTATCCAAAATCTGGAGCTGTGTTAGCTGCCGGGGAGCATGGTAGGAAAGCCGGAAATGTAGAAGTTGCAAGAAAACTCAGGATCTGTTTTCTCTTCCTTTCAGGCAGCAAACACACTGCTTAGGGATGTGGCCAAGCATATGGTCCTCTGGGATCACCTCTTAGAGACCTTGGTGACCGTGGAAGGTGACATCTTGCAGGCCCAAAGCCAGCTTGAGTGAAAGATGTAAAGATTAACAGAGTCTGAAGGGACCTCGGAGGTCCTCCAATCCAACCCCTTGCTCATGCAGGAGTTTTCCTAATACAGCCGAGGCCAGACCAAGATGGACCGCCAATTCAGGGGTGGGCTTCAAATTTTCTAGCAAGGGGCTCTCTACCCCCTAAGGACTGGCTGGGTGGGCATGGCTGGGTGGTCATGTGACTGGGTGGGTGTGGCCAACTCAACATCACTTCTTTGCCCTAATTACCTAAAAAAAATGATATATGCTAAAAAGTTGTTTATTATTTTGCGCGTTTAATACTTAAATAAAAGACTGGGTGAACCCAGGCTTAATAGCAGTGGCTGTGAGAGGGATCTTGGGGTCTTAGTGGAGTTTTTGGTGAGTTAAGTGATTCTTATTATTTGGGAATTAATCCCCCTGGAGGCTAGTGGCTATGTTGTTTGATTTTCTCAATGGCTCTCCCTCGCAAGTGCTGAGTGGATTGTTTATCTAGCTTGCAACACTTTTACAAGGTGTGAAATGCTCTTGGCTGAATGCCCAGAAGTTCAATTAAGGCAATTAAGAGCTTTCTCTTTCTGCTTGTGTTTCTGAGGTTATTGGGGGCTCTCCGAGCACCGCAGAGTCTTAGCTCTCAGCTAAGCCCCCAGCAGCCCATCTCTGCCACCATTTCATTCAACATAAAGGAACTCAACATGGTTAAGATAATTGTGATCATGCTCAAATCACAACCAGGAAGCAACTGTGCAGGCAGGCAGATGTCAGGGCAGCCACGGGGCTGAAAGGCTACTTCTTCACCTACGGGAAGAAGTCAAAAGAAGTCAAGTGTAGGCAATCCGAGATCTACCCTTTTCTAGACAGGTTGTGCCTGTGACACAAATATAATAGAAACGAAGCTTCAATCAATAGTTCCAGCTACCATATCTTGGTATCTTTGACGCTCCCTATAGACACCGTATGGTACTGTATATCTTTTGCCCTGAATCTGGAACATCTCGTGGTTCAGTTAAAGGGGAAACAGGGGTTTGCAGGAAGAGAAAACCCTAGGAAGTCCAAGAAATGTGTTCCTTAAGTCCTTCCGATGCAGAACATTTTCATTGGCTGCCAAGGAAAGATCTGGGGGGAAAGCCACCCATTCTCTTACTCACCTGTTTGTTGGGATGGGATCGGTCGTATCCCAGGACAAGGTTGGGGAGCTGGCTGTGCAGGAGGAGGTCTGCGACTTTAAATGGAATTGGGAAGCCTTGAATGGTGGTGCAAAAATCCGTGGTGAGCCAAAGGTACTGGGAGAATGCATCGACAAAGATGTACTGTGGAAGGGAGGAGAAGGAAGGGAAGGAAGGAAGGAGAAACAGGTTAAAAGAACAGGTCAAGAGACAGCTATAAAATTGCGACTAACACAATATGTTTAACTATGGTTTTATGGATAAACTCAGTTACTTGGATCATACACCAAGCCCCAAAACATGGAGAGGGCACTTACTACATCTCTCAACATTAATTTAACGTTGTTTATTGGATAGTTAAGTTATGCTGCGTGATTGCCAACAACAAAGGTTCTAAAAAGTTCATGCTTGATTATCCATATAGTGATGGCACCAGGCTAGAAACCAAAGAGATGGTGAGCTCCAGTCCCAC